TATATATATATATATATAAATTTAATAAATATATTATGTTTAATAAATATAATATTTTATACTATTATAAAGTTAGTTATATACAATATTTAATAATATACGAGTTAATACTGTATAAGAAAGAAATAATTTTTTTTATTAATACTATATTATAATTAATAAAAAAATGTTATACAAAGATTCAACAACTTAAATATACAAAAATAGCATATAAGCATTTTTTTTTAATCATATAAAGAGATTAATCAGTAGCATCATTATAAACATATAGACCCAATTTTTTTCACATCTCAACCATAAAAAGAAATATCATACAGTTTAGTAGCATACTACAACATGCATGAACAAATTAGATCTACAAAATATACAGAGAGGGTTTTGACCAAACTCATCTCATTCTCAACTCTCCCATAGAGTCAAATACACGATGAACGAAATACTCTTTTTTGTTTTTTTTTCCCCATACCTTAGTATATACGTGACCTCTAGGGAGTGGGAGATTCCTTCTCTCAACTTCCCTCTCCTTCTAGCAACCTTGAACTCTCTAGGACTCCCTACTCCTCAGAATTTTTCGGGAACTTGTGATAGTGTTTAGGGTTTTCTATTACAAAGGGTTTGGGAAGGTTGTAGGGGAAAAAATGGCTAAAAGGGAGTGACAACGATGGCCAATGAGGTTAATTTTAAGGGCTTCAGGTGGGCAGCTACCTAGACAAGGAGGGGTTAAGTGTATAACTTAGGTGAAGCAAAATCCTCTCTAAAATTCTTTTATCATTATCCAACCCAAACCCTTATCGGTTATATCAACCACACACCAAAACACATTATAATTATGCTAAGTTATTACTATTAGTTATAACATTGCATAAAATCTTATAAATTAATTAATTAAACCTTGCAACAACTTATTTTAATTAACTAATTTCCATTTTTTTTATCGTAACTGGTTAAATTCACGAAGCTATAAATTACTGATTTAAAACTAAACATTTTAATTTTAAAAGGCATTATTTCATTTTTAAAATCTGAAACTAGAATAATGTTAAATCCCTTAAGATAAAACAAAAAGAAAACACAGTAAACTCCTTTTAGGTAAAAATTGAGTCGTTATATCTAGCAATAGAACAACATTGAATTTCCATCACATGCATTTCTTATCCAAAAACTGGAACTTAAAAAAAAAAAGTGTAATGAACTATAGTTGAAGGAGAGGGGGAAAGATCCCCTGAACCACTCGAAAATTTTTGGTTTTTCTCCGATTTTGAATGGTTTACCCAAAAATAACTTAATAATTAATGCACAGCAACCACTAAGCAAACCTTCATATAAAGGAGATCACGTTTTGAGGTTGTCTGAGGACAATGGAAGAAAAGAAAACTATCATCAAAAAGTATTCACTTCACCAGGATGTGTACTGTAATGCTAACTTAATATACAGAATAGCAGATATTGTAATTCGTATCGACTCCAATATGATAAAATGACTTTCATTACTCTGCAACCTAGGGACACGTAAACCGACTATATAATAAATTGATCCGGATCTGGGCCAAAACAAATTAAAAAAAAATATCAAACTATCTCCCTCATTTGCTTTGCTGCTGTCACAGAAATCACTCTTAACTTACATTTCCCTATCCTTTCTTTCTGCAACAGAAACTCTATACCTTCGACGCCTTTATTTTTCCATTAACAAAATCCGACCATAGCCCTAAAGAATAACATTTCACAAATTTCTTTATTCCTCAAATGATGCGGGCTACGACCTGCTCTCCTTTAGGAACAAGGAAAAGAAAGGAAATTAACTGAATCGAACAGCAAAACGAAGGGCACATCATTGGTGCATTGTCCGAACCAAAGTCCAAAACCCATAACTGTGGGTCACTACTATCAGGATTGGACAGCCAGCTTCTGCAGATGCTCAAAGAAAACTTGAAGGCTCACGTCATCAGTGAAGATTACATCTGAACCAGCAGCCATCTCATGGGCATTATTGTATGTTGCTGAAGGATTCAACTTTGCTAGTAAAAATCTAGCCTGTTCAACATCAACAAAACACAACTAAGGGTCTCATCAAAGAAAAATTTTAACATACCAAGCAAAGTGGATTTCTGAAACAATTTTCTGCTAATATATTATGAAAGTGATATGTCATACATCAGCAACACTCGGTACTAATGAATTTCAGGAAAAGCAAACATAATACATATACTTACTTGGGAGCCATGTTGATCACACACCACTAATCTAGGAACAGGGAAACGTTCTCTAATTATGATTTGGGCATCTTCTTGCGGAGCTTGTAATAGATGTGCAAAAGCCTGTGCCGTATATCCAAGATATTAGCAAACAGAACATGGAGAGATAACATATACAACACTTGACCTTACAAATGAAAGCTCTGAATTAAATAATTTCCATCTTAAACTAGCAGAATGCTATTAACGATCCCAACTAGAAGACTATGCATAACGATTTAAACAAACTCAATAATTAATAATCAATCATTTTGAGAACAGAATTCACATTAGTAGGATATCTATGAGCAGTGGGTACATGCCTGGTGCTCTGGCTGGTTCTGGTATCCCATGTTGCGCCATTGAGCTATTGTCATTCCATGAAAAATTACCATGCTAAAATATGAATCAAGCAATAAAATCCGGTCCGCAGAAATGGAAGCCACATCTAACAACGCTGGTGCAGGCAGTGAATTAAATGAATATGCTATTAGAGATGGCTGAATCATGACAGCAGCATTACTTATATTTTCCCTGTTTAACAACATGCGGAAGTATGCAGTCTCATCGGGACTATTATTAAAAACCTGCCAATAAATTTCACCACAAATTTAAATTATGTTTTTAAAGCAATAGTAATGCATAAAGAAAATTACAGGGTACCTGTACAAACTGAGATCTTCGCAGATTGAAGATAAATTGGGGGAATAATGAAAATGATGGGTTTAATGTAAAAGAAGAAGGATCATCCTTGCGGTAGTCACCAAATTTAGAGCAAAGGCGAATGAGTAAACGATCCAACCATCGTGTGGCATCAAATGCTTCCTGATCAAACAACAGATGACACTAAATTAGCCTGAAAGTTAATGAAAAAATAAAATTTTCCATAAAAACAGTAATTTGCAGCATGTTATTTACAAGTTTAATGGTTATGCATTATCAACAAAAAAAGTTTTATACTGTCAATTAATCATAAATCATGATGTGAATGACTTTTAAGGTAGTCATTGTAAAAGTTAACAAACTTGCCCTACATGGTATTTTATGATTGAATTACAGTGTGAAATCCTTTTACGCAGTGCATAGACTGTTTGTTCGTTATTTATTAGCAAAAGAATATCAAATTGAAATAAGCTACCTTTGAACGAAGAAAAGATATGGGCATAACTAAATAAGATGGGAAATAAGTTCACAAAAGAAATTAAAACTAAAATCTTAGATGACATATTGTGAATTGCCAACCCATCAATTCTTGGTCACACACATATTAGAAAACAATGAGCAATACTTCATCCCATTTTACAATTTCCTATGACACCCAACATTCCAGTTAGAGCAAAATATAATTTACCATAAATTGATCAAAATTAGCATTGCCGCTTTAAGTTCTTAACAAGATTAAACAAGTGAAAAGTTCAGATTTGAGCAAAGAAAAAACTTATAGCCTCCTGAGCAAATAAATCCAGCAGTGGTAAAATATATTTTACAAAACATAGAGAATAACAAAAAATAACACAACTTGACATATATACCTCTGTCTCCATTTTTAGAGATGCTAGTCTGGCCATTACTACTGCAGCAGTTTCTTGGTCAAATCCTTGGACCAATTCCTGAAGATAAAATATATTATCTTTTCTAGTAACCGCATTTTTCATAAATGATGAAAATCCATTGATGGAGACAGAAATACAGCAGCATGCCAACAATAATATAGAAGAGAATAACCCTAAAACTATTATTTTCTCGGAATATCTACTATATTCATCAACTTTTGGCTTATCCTTCCTTGTTTGTAGTGGGCTCTAAACTAGGATAAAGCACAAACTTCTGTGCTAAGGGATTACCAAAGCCCATAGTTTAGAGTGTTTTTGACTTGGTTACTGTACATGTATTATGTGTTGATTCAATGGGTTACTTGTATTCATTTTCTTCAATGAAATTCCTTTCATTATTAAACCCCCCAAAAACATGCAAAAAAACAAATAGTCCAAAAAATACAGACCTCCATTACGGGCAATACAAGCACACTTTCTTGGAGACACCATTTTAGTTATACTATGTCAGGCACCCAAAGTTTTAAGGCATGTTTTAGAGAGAAAAGGGAGGTAACAAATAATTTAATCCCATCTAGGCAGTGTGAAAGGTATGATCTCACGTAAATACCCACTACAAAGGTGGCAAAAATGGAAAGCAATGGTGGGCTTCAGCTATGAGAAGGAGGGAGGGAAAACAGAAAGGGGCAAGAAAGGATTAAGTTAGGGCAGTGAAGGAGAGAAACAGGCCTCTCAAATTGCCTGGATATATTGTATTTGCTTTTCTGTTCTGTTCTGTGGAGAGGAAGTGAGGAGAAGAGTTTCTAGAAGTTTCTCAACAAACTTGGCCCTCTGATATCAGTAGCAGAATTTCAGTGATAATGCTGCATTATTCAGCTATTTTTGCTCCAGTTCTATCACATTATAATATGAGCTTGCCTGCTATATTTATTTCCCTGCCAATTTTGTTATACTCTGAGACATATAAAATGCAGTAACTGAAACAGGTCTCTTTCTATTAATTGGATATTGAAAATGACATTAATCAATTTAACATTTACATTGTAAAAACAGTCCTAAACTCCAAATAATTCAAGGCTTTTTCAAGCACAGCCATACAAGTTCAATCTAGACAGAGATAAATCATTCAGATATCTATCTATGCCAAAGTTTAGAATCATAATTGACAGCAAGGAAACAGAGACAAGAGAATTATCATAAATCCTTCTTAATATTATGATAAATGTAGAAGCTACAACAATATTTTTTACCATTGAAAAATACACAAACATCCAGCTGCAAATATAGAAACAAACAACTGAAACTACCTCAGAGCTAACAGTTACATCTACCCATCTTCTAGTCACTGTAGTGACACGAACCACAGATTGACCATTCGGGCTCTGGAAACTGTAATAAGAACATGACCAATATATTCAATGATCAGCAAGGAGAGAGAAAGATGCATGACATAGTCATAGTATAAATAATATCCTATAAATGAAAGTTCTCAAACATAACCTTGTAACGAACTGCAGGTAAAACTGTGGGTTAGCAGCAGCTGGAGTGTTTGTACGATCACTTGATGAAAGATCAAACAACACGGTCAAGCATGTACTCCTGTCAAGGCCACACATTTTCCAAGATGTAGTGTTTCCCTCTCCTATCACAGTATCAGCAACAGAAGGCCCTTTCTGCAGTATGTGATTGTAACCATCAAACTCCAAATATATTAGGTCAACTCACAGACTCCATTTCCAGTGTCAATAAGCAACAGCAAAAAAATGATCCAAATCCAACCTTTTCCAATGATGTGCAAGGTCCAATTATACCCTGAATTTTGATTTCCTTGGAGCAATTAATCTCAAGTGTTCCGCTGTTACATAAATTAAGTTGGCAGGGAGCGTGTTTGTTAGAGAATAAGAGCAACACATCATAGAGAGAACGAGAAACAAGAAAA